GGTAGCTGGTATGTATACATGACACATCTTAATTCTTTTTATGCCCTCCAGGCATCTCTTTGTCTTCTTCCTATCTATAAAAGATCTATCTCCCTGTTTCCTATTGTCTATTTTTATTTTCCTCTGTATTTATACTTTGGGTTTCTCATATAAAAGAAATCATAGAGTTTATGAGTCTGATTTATTTGACTTAAGTTTTTGTATTCAAGGTATATCCGTGACCCAAATCCTTTATCACATAATAAACATCACATAAGTATATCAATAGAGCCAGAAAAAACTTTTGACATGATCCAAAATCTATTCATAAACAACCTTTTAAGAAAGTAGGTATGTCACCTGGTACTTGGGAGACTGAGCAGGACTGCCATGAATCTGAGGCCAGTCTGGGTTACACAGTGAGTTCAAGGCCAGTTTGAACTACATAGTGAGACCCTGACAAAACAAAACAAAATAACCCCTCCAAAACCAAAACAAAACTGAAAACTCAGAAAGAAAGAAAGAAAAGAAGGACCATATCTCAACCTGATAAAAGCCATTTATAACAAACCAATGGCCAACATCAATATTAAACAGGGAAGAACTGAGAGCTTTCCCACTAAAATCAGGTACACGATACTCTTGCTCAATATAGCACTCAAAATATTAGAGCAATCGGGTAAGAGAAAGGATATGTATAGTAAGGGTGAAGTCAAGCTGAGCATCTTTTGGTGTGTTCGCTTGACATCTGTTCAGATGAAGTGTCTATTCAAACCTTCTGCTTATTTATTTTGTTTTACTGGATTGTTTTCTTCAATGAGTATTGAGAACATTTCTTATATGTCCTGGATACAAGTCCTTTGTTAACTGTAAAGAATTGATTTACAAGTATTTTCTCCTAGTCTGTTTCTTTTTATTCTCTGTATTTTTTGAAGAACATGATGTTAAATTTCAATGAACTCCAGTTTATCAATTTTTCTCTGATGGACTGAGTTTTTGATTTTGTGCTTAAGAAGGAATTTTTGTCTAACCCCAGTGTTTCATATTTTCTTCTGGCTTGTAAGTATAGTTTGTAGCTATAAAAAACTCCATTAGGAGTTAATTTTGTGCAAAGTGAGTCAGTTCCCTATAAATTGCCTAGAACCTAGTCAATTTAAAAATTTACAAATTTCCCAACACCATGCTCTGTGTCCTCAAGCTACGTGCCTTGGTCAGTTGTCTTGAAATCTCTGCTTCCCAACCCCAGATGGTAACAGCTCCTCTGTGCTTCCCCGGTGCCCCAGGCTGTAATCATGTGCTGCATTATAATCACTTGCCCTGGGCTCTTTCCCGCATCATGCTATCTGCTCCCTCAAAGCAGGGCTCACACCCTTTTTCTGCAACTATAGTCCTTACCACACTGCTTGGTATGCAACAGACTTCTGGCAAAGGGCTGCTGAGTCAGGCTTGCACAGTCAAGCCCACCTTTTCTAACACTAGGTGAAAATGCTTTGAACATGGGAAGGTATGGGAACATAAGAACTGTAAGAATGAACCATAAATGATATATTCACATTCAGTTATCTGATAATCCTGAAAGGCTACTGAGGAGACACATTAAAAGGGAATATAAAAGAACTATAGTGAAAAGGAATCAGAACAATTATAGGATCCACACCATATCAACTTTATTCCCAATGAATGTCTCAGCAAAAAAGACCTAAATTAAAGAGACAATAAGAACCATTCTGCCAGGCATGGTGGGGTATGCCTGTAATCCCAATGCAATCCCAGCTTGCACTGCCGCAAGTCTGAGGCCAGCCTGGGCTGCACAGTGAGTTCAAAACCAGCCTGAGCTACATAGCAAGACCTTGTCTTAAAAAAAAGAACTATTTTTCAAGAAAACTCTTCACAGAAACACCATGATGTTAGGCAGTGAACTTTTTGGTTAGCTGCAAAAATTTCCATGAGTCATCTGCCCAAAGCTGGTGCCTCTCTTCCGTGTTTTACTTGAGAAAAGATAAGGTAGGCGTGGGGGAGGGTGAGTCATGCCAAATGCTCCCTAAGCATTATTGTTTCAAAGAGAGTAGAACATTCAGTTACTTTCATGTTCACTGAGGAGCCGCGTCACTTGCAAGGTTAAAGCTCAGAGAAGTCCATCCTTGTGGAGGAGGCAACTCTGGCCATGCAGCGTGCATCCTGTGGCAGGCAGTGCCCACATGGGCAGCACCTGCTGCTGTGAAAATCATTTCTGGAGCCTTGTGAAGGATGTACAGTCAAGCCCACCTTTTCTAACACTAGGTGAAACGCCTTGAACATGGGAAGGTATGGATAGTGATACAAGCAGTCTCCACGTTTGTTTTAGTAATGGTTATACTGTCATATAAATCCAAAACTCATGTCTATGTGGGCAAAATGTAATACTTAAATGGAGCGGCTGCCCTGAACTCGAGAGTGGTAGGTCTGTGTGGGCATCTCTACAGTACTCAGGCATTAGTTTGTCAAAGTCACATTCTAAAACCTGAAGGAGGACAGTTACAACCAGATCCTCTATAGCTAGGCACTTGGATCAGTCCTTGAGCTACTCTCGCCACCTCTTCTGACCTTGCTACAAGAGATCTAAAACTAGTGCCCTAGCGGTAGGGCATGGGGGAGGCAGAGGTAAGCTATGGGAAGAAGTGAGGAGCAAGCTTCCAAATTATTATCAGAAGGTTGGATGACAAGCCAAGCTAAAACCAACAAACCAAGATAAGGGTGGGGAGAAAGATGATATTTACTCAACTTTTTAAGTATGTAAAAACCTAAATGCAGTATGGACATGCAGGCTAATATGCTTGTACCATTTGATAGTTCCTTCCATGGGAGAAAGTACGAGGGTATATGCCAGGGTTCCATCTCTCCTCACAAGAAATTGATGCAATATGCCCAACTCTGCCTAGTACCCAGCATTTGTCACACACAGATTAGCCCAACCGTGGTAACCATTCCATCACAGGGACCTCAGGAGTTGAAAGGCAC